ATGTGCCTGAATGTCATGCACCATTCTGTGCTACTTATTACACATCGCTTATTGAGTAGGGCATTCCGAGGGCCTAATCCGTCATGCTTTCTCAGATTAGAAAGCTATCGGACAGCTTTGTTAAATCCAGCTTGGACGAACTGCTATATTCAAAATTCGAAGCAAAATATAGAAAAAAACAAATACATGGTCATTTGGCACTTTGCCAACTACTTATTATCACTAGCAAAACTGGTTTTCAAAGTAATTTTGAGCACCACAGCCTTACTTAGGCTGATCCAAGACGAGCTCCTGAGGAAGAGGAAAGACGGGGGAGGGGGGGAGGAGACGGAGGGTCAGGGGGATAGTCCCCTGCCACCTTGGAACTATGCAAAAATTAGGAATAGAGTTGTAACACTGCTACATAGAATTACATTACTTTAGGCTTTAGTTCACCTTTAGTTTTAGCTTTAGACCTGAACTTTTGCAGCACTGGTGTCTGTGCCGCTGAAGAAGGGGCGAAAGACCCGTCACCCCTCCCCCCGCCTCCTCTCCCTTCTCCACCCTGGATTCGACCGTGTAGCCTCCCAAAGAAAATAAAAAAATAAAAAAAAAAGTAAATTTTGAATATATCTAGAGCAATAAAAGTGACGATTGAAGACAATGCAGGAATCTACGTAACTGAAGGAAGCGGGAAAAAGCTGAAATTACATATGAAGCTTTTTTTTGCCTCACCTGGGTATAACGGGCATCTGTGACTATATTATCGATGTCCTCCTCGAGCTTCTTTATTGTTTGATTCAATATTTTATTTTGTTCACTGCGCGTGCTTTTGAGCCGATTTTCTAGTTCAGATAGCTGATTGCGCTTAATTTCCACATCCAATTCTTTTGGACGTGTTCGGTGCAGCTGCTGCTGCTCTTCTTGCAACGCAGCACGACGCTCTTTCAGTTTTCTTAAAAAAAAAATAAGGAAATAAAACTCGATTCAGTTCGTTTTTTAAAATATTTACTTTCATTCTTACCATGAAAAAAAAACGATGTGATATATAAAAGATAATATAAGGATAAGGACAGATTATGGAATGGTACCCATGTAATGTTGTTTCAAAAATATAGGGGAATCCGCTAATGCAATAGAAATATCCACTTCAACAGATGTGAAAACAGATGGAAAAGTGGAGCTCGGAGAAGAATGGAGAAATTACCAAATGCATCAGTGTCGGGAGGGGGAGAGTTGAGAAGCTCAGGAAATGTAAGGATGTAACAAACAGTATTAAAAGTAAAGATCGAAATCTTAAATGTTGAAAAAGAAATTTGAAAAATGCAAACAATGAATATCCCTGGCCGGGGATGAGATTGGAAGAGGACAGAGGCCTGAAATCTTCTATGTGTTAACATATGCAGTTTGTTTCATCTAAAAACACGCAATTAGTAAGCAGTAATTCAAAAATATTTAAAGAGACCTGATAACATTTTCGTCCCATTTCTTGGCACGTTGCTTTAATTCCTGTCCACCTCCCGAGATGATGCCACTTTTTTCAAACAACGTTCCATCCAGTGCTACTGCTTTATATCGATCTTTTGCATTATACGCTAAATATCTGGAAAAAAAGGAAAATTCGTGAGAAAAACCCTTCATGAAAGAGTAGAACAAAAACTTTTTTTCGATCCTGCATAACTGCTGGTATTTACTTTGCTTGAGGAATGCTTCGAATCGAAAAAAAAGATGGTTGGAATCACGATAATGGAAATATGATTGGATCAATTCAAACTTACTTTGCATCTTCTGGTGTTTCACACAGCAAAGCATTTCCACAAGCAAATTGCAGGGCTTTACGGGCAACCGAATTATTGCATTGGATGACATCAAAAACGAGATGCACACCGCGCGGTTCCGATATATCC